CTGGGACCGGGGACCGCACATCACGTGAGGACGGGCCATCTAAGTATTTAAATAGGTAAATATTCGAGAATTCCCTAGAATTTAGGTTGACATTTCTCAGTTAACTTTTTTATAGAATATGATTGAGTGTTAGAAGTTCACAATGTTGGAGTTCAATAGTAAGAGAACTGCGCTTAAATCTTGCGCAGAGAGTGGCCACTCAAATGCTGCTTACCTCGTTGTAGAGTGATTTTTAACATCCGCGACGTTGTGAGTGCTTCTGGTCCTGTCATGAGAATCACAACGTATAATGTGACAGGGTTAAGACCCCGTGAAGATTCACGACCAGCGACAAATGCCCTGTCTACTCCGCTGCTCGTCTGCGTCTCCGCGCGTTGCGCGCTGCCTCGCACGGGGCATTTGGCTCTGGTACCCTTTTCTCTGTTGTTTTCTATTAACTCCTAGCAAACTGTACATCATATTGAAGCTTTCGATCTCTACTTTTACGCTACAACGTCGCAGGACTCCACTTTCTGATTAGAACGAGAAATCTGGCAAAAAGGGTGAAAATCCCTTGTTTTTTCTTCAGCTCAACAGGGAAGAATACTTGGTGACCCCGGCCATTCATAATGGTTTGTGAGGGCTTATCATGTTTAATCAAGCATTTTACCTATTCATGTAAAGAAGGGCGGTGAAGCTCATTTTCAATTCAGGATCACGAGGATGCGGTTTCGAAGCTGGTCCCAGGTTAAGTCATCCACAACATATAAAAAGGGGGGGGGAGGCTTGCAGGTAGGTGACCAATGACCCGGGCTGGACCGGGAAAGCCAACTAGTCATAAATAAAAGTTGTTGTTTCCTCTTCAAATGCTGAATATGATTTAGATAGGTCTAAATACAACGTCCTTTCTATACGAAATCCGCCATTCGTATTATTCTTCTCTGTCCCAAAATGCGAGGATTACTGGAACTTGTTTGTGTGGTTGAGTAACTTTTTGCCTCGTACAGCAAAGATGAATTTAGTAGCTAGCACTGTTTTTGCTGTTGTAGGAATGTGCAGATGTTAGCATCAGATGTGGTTTTCACCATTTCTTTCGCGTATCTGTGAATTCATGCACAGCTGTGCCTAGACCATTTGGTTTCAGGCATATAAGTAGCTGGCAGTGCACAGTCAGAGTCAGTCGCCACACAGTTTTCGCCTCTTACTTCAACATTAGTTTGAATCATCATTTGTGCCTTCTTCCAGCCATATCATTCCTATTTGTAGTTCATCATTTAGTAACATCATTTTGTTATTTATTCTATCCGTGTTGTTGTTGTTATTCTTGTTACCCAGATAAAGTTTAATTACCCAAGTTTGAGGTGTGCTCGTGCGTATACGAAGTCCCGCGTGGCAATACTTTTGGTTGTGGTTTGGTATTCGAAGTCTTATAGTTCTGATATATCCCCACCACTAACCAACACAAGTGGTGCATCGACCAAATCAAGAGGTACCTTTTATTACAGAAGATAAAGTGTGTCTCGCTTGCTTTGCACGATACGCTTTAATTGTTGCACGATAGTGGATCACCTGCACATACTGGAATTGCACAGAATTTCTTTTTGCCTGCACTTCCATAATGACAACTACAGTAAGAGCGTACAAGGGACTGATGACCAAAAGAAGCCAAGTCGCTCTGGCATGGTTGGAAGAATCCACACAGCGTCTTCAACACCTGAAGGAAAAAAGCACACAACAAGAACAAGTCAAGGAATTCACAATGACTGTGGCGAGGTGTGACGAATATCTGGAACTTCTCGAAGCATCCTTAACCAAACTCACGGAAGCCTTCGATAAACTTCAACATACCACAGACGAAGAAGAAGATCAGTTAGAAAAGCACGCAGAGATTGCTCAAGAGACTATCATGAAGTTATACGCACAAAAATTGGATACCAAGCAGATGTTACAAGAAATAACGACGGGAACTATGCTGACAACAAGTGGAACCGACCACCAATGTTCGGCAGCAGTTAGCAAACTTCCAACTATACCTATTCCAAGCTTCACAGGAAAGAAATGGGAATGGGACAACTTCTGGGCCATATTCAAAGCCAACGTACACGACCAGGATCTAACGGAATTGCAAAAATTCAACTATTTACTGTCAGCCCTGAGTGGGGAAGCGAAGCAATCGATCTCGCGATTCTTCGTATCAGCAAATAATTACGAAAAAGCCATACAGCATTTGGCGAAACGTTATGGCAACAAGGATGGCATTATTTCAAAAACCTACACAAATGCTTGGCAAGAGGACCCACCACCGCAGATCAGCGTCAATTATGGGACAAACTTTCAACTATCGCAGCGCAACTAGAAGAACACGAGCAACACCTCAGCAATCAAATAACGATCCAAATTTTTCTCCAGAAGTTCCACGTACGTATTAGGAAAGCAGCTTTGGAGAAACGACTCAGACACAAACAAGAAAACAATAGCGAGTGGACATTGGACCAATGGCTCGACGCCATTGATGACAACATATCACAAAAGGAACAGATAAACCACATGCTTTCGGTTAAAACACAAACAGGAAATTATTCGAACCACGACACGATGGCGACAAAACCATCAGGAGCAACTGATAGATGGAAAGCAAGCAACCTTTGTGAGCGCTGTGGAGGGAACGGACACAGGTGGACAAATTGCCCGCAGATTCCCACAGCAACACAGAAAAAACGCTTCTTACTGGAGTCCAACAGATGCCTCAACTGTGGATTGAATGGTCACAGAGTAGCGACATGTTCAAGCAGCAATTGCCGAGATTGCAACAAGAAACATCACACCACATTATGCTCAGAGAAGATGCCTGACGAAGGAACACAAAGCAGACTACGGCATAGTCAACGAGAGAAGGCAGATGCTGCGGAAACACCTAAGAACAAGTTGAAAACGGCGGCAAGACCTTGCAGTTCTTCAAAGCAGTATGCGTTAACGGAGGCAACTAAACGAGAAACTCAAGACACAACACAGGAAGCAACGAAGGAAGCCGAACAAGAAATTTCGTCAGTACTATCGCTTCAGGGAAAAGTACACGTTGGTAGCTTGTCGGGTCTCCCTTCAAATAATAAAGCTGCGAAAAACGCAATGGCGCCTAATGACAAACGCGTCGGGAATGGACTGAAACGGCAAGCCACTTCAACTGAGTCGTCCAATTCGTACAACATGCAACCTCCGGATAAGAAATCACCAGTTATAATCGCCAGTGCAACAATATCGAAGGACAAGTTTGCGTCGTCATGCTCAGAAGCTAATTTATACATGCATCCGTCAGCCGAACTTCCGCGGATCCACATATGAAGTCTGCTGTCATGAGTTCGTCCCCTTTCAACGTTTCCGACACCAATGATGATGCCCCACTTACCGAATTTACTGCAAAATATGATGACTTCATAGCAAAGCCGGATCTGAGTCAAAACGAATTTGCTACAAAGAACGAAGGCAAAACTATACACAAGGCATGGCGGGAGTTTCCGAACTTTAAAGAAGATGTCAAACGACAGCAGCAAGAAATTCTAGACTCGATACAAAAGATGAGCCAGTACTTCGAAACCTTCAAAGCATGGGGTACGAAGAATGGAACCGACGCCATCCAACAAGAGATCCAAGAGGAGGATCAGAAGGCACAAAGGAGAACTGCTCTCGCAAAACAACATTCATCAAAACTGGCTATGAAGGAAAAAGCGGAAGTGCAAAGGCGATACAAGACGCAAAGCAGTAGTGAAAAAAGGCGAAGGAACATCCAACCGGCTCCTACACTATCACAAAAACAAGAAGAAAGCAAAAGAAGTAATGCCAAATGCAAGAGAAAGCACACACTAAAAGGAAGTTTTTCCTACGATGAAGAAAGAAAACAAAAGAACATCGCACAACGTCAGCGACGATGAGGAAAATTGAGCAGAATCTGGATCATTTCTCCTGCACAGGAAGACGCTCTGACGTGAACGTGAACTGCCATGGAACTCGAAAACAGCATATAGATGCCTGCTTGAATTTGCGTAGTGACACAAGAAGAATCGACGTTCAGCACGGAAGCAAACTTTGCCGATGTGTCGCAGTCCGTCACACTGAGGACCACACAGAAAAAGCTTTATGTTTCTACCGTAGAAACACCAGAAGTGACGCTGTCATACTTAACCACCATGCTATCTGCCGGTTGCTTGAAGAAATTGCCCACAAGCAACGAAAACTTATGCGTCAGGCGAAGAAGGTCAAGGACAACATGAAAAGTGGGACGAGAAGAAAGGAGTGACGTGGAGTGCGAAGAAAGGAAGACTAAAGGCAAACAGTGCAGTTCAGACCCAGTCAACCTGATCTCTCTTTGCGAGGCCGGAGTATACGAAATCCGCCATTCGTATTATTCTTCTCTGTCCCAAAATGCGAGGATTATTTGAACTTGTTTGTGTGGTTGAGTAATTTTTTGCCTCGTATAGCAAAGATGAATTTAGTAGCTAGCACTGTTTTTGCACTTTTCATCAGTTTTTAGAGCTTTCTTGATGGCGTGTTCACAATTCTGGCGAACATTGGGAATACAGTCGTTCCCTAAATCTGAAACTTATGGAAAAAGTGTTATACTGAAGTGCAAATTTCATACTTAGAATTAGCGACTTCGATTAACCTAGTTCAAAAGTTTCCCGCTACTTTGTCTTTTTTTCTGTGGCAAAATACCGCTTTCAATGGCTCAAAATTCTTCTGGAAGTTCCTACCATAAACTTGCACTAATGAAGAGCGATCGATAGTTCACTAAATGCTGTAAATCTAAGCTGAACCTCGCTCTACAGAATGGTCTACAGAATGGTACTCTTCAAGCTCGGTCAAAGACTTGAAAGCAAGAGATTATCGATCAAACAGTGTGTACATCTTTTTGTGATACCCTGTATATGCAGCAAAGACTTTGATTACGTCGGTGCCAAAAAATCAAAAATAGATCTTCCTGCACCTTTTCTTCAACTAACTAAAGTAAGTAGCTCATACACTATTGAATGCCAACTCTAGAGATATTTTCTGGACAGAATCATTCAGCTGCGGTCTTGCGACGAGCGCTCGTCTACTGTAATTCGCTCGATCGGTATCTCTTGGAGGCTGCTCGTTGGCGGGTGTAGGCCGGAAGGCGACAACTCAGACACTCGCTGTTGACTCGCGCCGGAGATCCGCCCCTTTTTGAGGAATTCACGGGAAAGGGCGTAGACATGCGCGAGACAATATTTTGACAGTTTCTGCGAATGGTCGCGAAAGGAAATCGGGAGATGATGTGTAACTCAGCGAGCAGTTTCGCAATATCGACGCGCGTTTCAAATCTCAGCTCATACTGCATAATTTTAGGTTTTTTGCTACTTATTTTCTAAATTCTTGCATTCCGTCCGTCCTACCTAAGCCTACCCTTTATTTGAAATCAATTTTGAAGCTTCTTCTCTAGAAATCGAAGCTCGACTATCTCCGTGATTGTGGGATGTCACATTTTGTCTTCTCATATTTTTAATAAGTAGGTTCCACTGTTTCCTCATTTCGCACCTTCTCATTTTTAAGGTTTCGCTCTGGATGCTCTTGGCTTATACGTTGATGATTTGCTGTTACCAGCTTCAGAATTAATGAGGAACCCACGATGTATGTTTCGGAGAATCCCAAGTTTGCATTATTATTTTTCATTGGTTTAGATGGTGGACAAATCTTGGAAAGGACGACAGGGAGCGATCAAAAGCCTTCGACATGCTCGCACAGGCCAGGATGGATTGGGCGGTCTTCACTCGCACAGCCCTCGGAAGAGCCTCGTAAGCTATTGGAGTATTGATAAGGCAGATGGACATTCCATATTGCGTTTTGCAGGGGAGATGTATGGGCTTATGTACTAAATGCGGTCAGAGCTAACTCCTTCCTTCAAAGGTAAGATGCCAGTGCATTATTCCCAGTCTTCGTCGACATGGTTTTTTCTTTTCAGAAGAAGCGTGTGATCGAGACTACGGCAAGCAGCTCTTCTGCTGTCAAGGAAATAGAAAAGACCAGCCCCGACGAGTTTTAGCCCATCTGCTACTACTTTTTTCTAGTTTGCTGTACTTACAGATCACTATCATATCATTTGCCTTAACTCTACTCCCGCTTTTGCGTATCACTTATTTGCATTCCGAGATTCTCATTGTTTAAACGGTTACCAACTATCATCGACTCCCAGATTCGTGTGGAGGTGGAGTCTTTCCAACTCACCGCGTAGCGGTTTTTGCTAGCGAGAGGTTACGAAAAGCAATGCTATGACGTGGAGGTTTAGCAAGTTTACATGTGTTATCAGGCAAAGTCTGCAATACACCTCCACACGAATCTGGGAGCCGATCATACACTTCTATCTCATCATATAATTTCGCTCTTTTTAACACGTTTCTCCTGAGATTTCAACGGAAGTGCCCGTGGTTAACACGTTCAAAAGTGCGAAAAGCAGCGAGATGACGTGGTACTTATGGGAATCTTGCTGGAAAACAAACGATATATATACCTTTATATAAATGTATATATAAATATATATAATGTATATTTATACATACACATATGAGTATATACATATATGTAATGTACAGCAAGTAGGGATATAGCGAAATTATTACTGCGAGATAACGCGCTCCAGTTGCGTCAGGACATCAAGATGTGTCGCCCTCGAGCTGCCGCATATTTCCTGCAAGATGCGGGTCGCGTCAAAGCGTTGTCTCGGGCAGCATTGTTCCGACACATAATGCTGCCTCGGAATTTCGTCGCGAGGCCGATTACTTGTGTCGCGCCTTCATTCAGCGCTTACACAAAACTTTGGGCTGCGCGAGTCAACAGCGAATGTCTGAGAAAACCCATTTGGAGCGAGCGCATGGAGGCCACGCCCCTCATGAGCGTCTGTGACACCGAGCGCAAGGTCAACCAAGCCAGAGATGACGCTTTTTCGGCACACGCGCTGGCGCACTAATGGTAGCAGCATTCTTCGGAGTTCCTATTGATATACTTGTTGCCTAGAGTCAGTACTGGTCTAATATGGGCTAAGCAGTGTACGGAGTAAATGTGTCACTTAAAACCTGTTTATCTCCTTGTTGATACTTGTCCATAAGTTTGGTAGTGTAACTTTTGGTTCCCTCAATTCAAGACTAAAAAGATCAAGCACTACAGACCTATGAAACACGTTATTATAGCTTTGGAACAAATGAGAGAACACAATCGCAATACACCATCCAAAAAACGGGTTATATGGAGATCAATTTTTTTGAAAGCGCGTTCTTTTGATTAGGAGTGCAGTTCTTCCGCGATCTTCATTCCTTTGATTCACGGAGGTCGATTTGTCACATTCAGATTCATAGATCATGCATCGCAACGACTGAGCTTGTTATGAACAGTAATAGGACATGACAAAGGCAGAGTGTCGTATTGTCCAAACAGACATAAATCAAAGCGATCATACTGTTGCAAATCAGCTCCCTTCCGGTGGAAGAAATGTCGAAACGCAGATGTCGAGACGCGGACTAATTAGATGGTCCGACAGTCCCCACGCCAGCTGGGCGGTGCCCAGCTACCCCAGATGAGCTGTGCCTAACCGGGTGACCGGCGGTTTCCCGGTTAGGCACAGCTCATCTGGGGTAGCTGGGCACCGCCCAGTTGGCGTGGGGACTGTCGGACCATTTAATTAGTCTGCGTCTCGACAGAAATACAGACTCTTTTCGCCGGAAATCCAAAATTGTCTAATTACTCAACCCGCTTAGCAAACTCGCATTCTGTCCATAATCAATTCTGTGACCTTTCTCGTGCTTTTCTGCGCTGTTCTGTCCTATAGTTTGAACGGTAATCTTTTATTCTCAATGAAAAAAAGCAGCGATGCTAACAAAAAAAAAGAATGGTTATTATCATTAACACATCAATGTGATTATAATGTATCCATTCGACATTATCAACTTGGACGAGGTCTCCTCAAGAACTACCCTAATTTCACGCGTATAAGGCGCGGGGGATTTTTTTCTAAAATCGACCAGCCCAGACACTCAAAGGACTTTACAATCAAAGGACCCTATAACCTGCTGTATATTGCTTGAGAAAATCGTGATGTAAGCATTTCTTTCCGGGATGCAGTGGACCGGCTGAGCGGCTCGCTTTAAAATTCGAAAAAGTGCGCCTTATACGCGTGAAATTAGGGTAATTATCATATAAAAATATGGTATAGTTAACTAAATGCCTAACTTATGGAAAAATACAAAAGTATCACATCACTCAGGAACGCAGATATCTACTAACCTCCTTACTAGGATGATTATTTATTGCACTATGCATATTGCTGCAGCCTGAAACAAAACTTTTTTACAAAAGGCAGTCTAATGAGCATATGCTTACAGATAGACAAATACCAAAGAAAGCAAGTCATCACATTACAACACTGAGCAATGATATACATACACGAAACAAAAACATGTCCAAAAAAACCAGGTGAGAGAAAACGATGAAGTCAGAGATTGAGAGAGCCGTGCGCGATGTGTATAAAGGCGCCCCATTCCAAATATCCAGTGCATCCTAACAACGGGAAACTCGGACAGGGCGTGGCCACTAGCTGCGCCTGTTCTAGGTCATTTGTCGACTTCCGGACATTCCCCCTCATTGACAGGGTCAAGCGTGGGGTGTGGCACGCCACACCTGGGGGTCGTAGAGTGGTCAGGAAGGGGAGGGGGTCGTTATCGAGGTGATAGTGATGTTAGCGACATTATGTCATTCAACATTGTCTGATAGGCCCATTGTACAAAATACCAGCACTGATGTTTTGGCCTACCGTCGTACACGCACAGTAAGCATATTAAAAGAATCCTGAAAGCATAAGAGCACCATTTTCGTAATTAGCATGTCAATAACACTTGAGGGCCAAGTTTCAGCGAATTTTGAGGTTTCCAGATATTGGGACGTTCAAGTGAGGTAGTCATTTCCGACATCCTAAGTTCGTTTAAAAGGTGAGTAAACTACTTCTTTTTGCACTCTTACAAAGTACCACTACTTCTTTGATCACATTAGGAATCCCACTTCAACTAACCTCCAAACTCTGGAATCAAGAGCAAGCCAAAATCTCTTTGTCCCATTTTCCGCTTTCAATTTCTCAGACTAGAGATGACCAATCAGGCTCAAACCCCTTTTGTGAAAGTTACGAGGATCAGGCTGCCGAATATACTTGTTATTGCCGCCTTCCCTCGCGATTAACGTAGTAGCGTAGATTTAGCATATTAGTGTAATCCAATATTTTCGAGTGTTTTCAATTTGCTTAGCTAAGGAAAAACGACTATATTTTTCCCCAGGAGAAACAATTTTGAATGAAATTCCTGCTATCTGGAGAAGAAGACTAAGCAGTAGCAACCGTATAGAAAAGACAGAGATTTGAATGCTTTGAAGGTAAGTTGATGGGGTGTGGCACAACCCTAAAAAGCTGTGGCGGCCACGTAGCAGGAATATCATTGTGCCACCCCATTAACTTGTCTCCAAAAAGAATTTTAGCGAACAGAATACATGTAGTTTGATAGCCTGATTCTTGCAGTTTTCATAGGAGTAATTTGGGCCTGATTCATCTTCCTCGCTCTGAGTAAAAGCTCGTGAAAGCGCAGCCACTGGAAGTGAAAAATAACGAGATTTTGGCCGCTTCTAATTCCAGTTTGATAGCTATTTGAAGCAGGATTTATGGCATGGGAAAATAAGAAGTAGTGTTTTGTATTGAGCACAAAAAGAGTTAGCTTAGCTATTTCACTTTTGAAATATAGTTAATCATCTACGAAAATGTTCACTGCACTTGGGTGATCCAATATTGGGAATCCTCAAAATTTGCTAAAACTTGGTCCATGGTGGTCATTTGACATGATAGTTACGAATATGTGCCTAATTATGCATGGTAGAGCCTTTATGTCATGCCTAGGGAAGAGAAGATGGAGGGGGGGGGGAGACAAAAGATATGTGGGGGGGGGGGGGAGGGAGGTCGTGTCCGGCGCTTGTGTGCCACACCTCTTGCTCGACCCTGCTCATTGGTGTTGAGTGGAAGGGCTACGTACCTAATGCTCAAGACTGAAGGAAGATGATGGTATATGGCAGGGATTGCTAGGGATGCGGCGGACATAAGCTTAACGAACCTGCAAAGTGCATCCTCAAAGGAGTTTTGCAAACAATGACAAGTTAAGCTTCTTCCATACTGATCCGGAAGTTCGGGACAGTTGCAGCACGCTCTTGAGCTGAGCGTTGTGCAGGAACAGTTCCCGAACTTCCGAATGGGGATCTGCCAACCTTCAGTCGTGCAGTCTAAAAGATGTCTTCGTTCCAAACCTTTCTAAGCGCTATTCTGCTATCCGGGCCCTAAATTTTTTTTGTCATAGAGGTTGCTCAAACTTGGTTTATAAGGGTTATCTGGCATGCTGATTACAGATATCACCCTTTCTCCGCAGAACGTCTCCCCGTGTGGTTACGATAGATGTACGGTAGGAAGTCAAAATCATGAATTTGGCTGGAATTTGGTCTGAGGGGCTTATTCGACATGCTGATTACGAATATCATACTCTCTCTATGTTGGGACCTTTTCATAGAGTTATGATGGTTACACCGTATGGGATCGAAAACATAGCTTTGCTCTGAACTTCGTTTAGGGTGGTCATTTGGCGGGCTGAACATGAGTATCATGCTGATTTCGCAGGATAGTGCATTTTCTTGGGTTACGGTGTGTGTAGATGGGTCGAAGTTCCAAATTTGCTCAAAACCTTACCTGGAACGGTTTACAAGCATGCTGCTCATGAATATGATGCTTGCTCGCTGTCATTACGCATTATTGTGAAGTTACGGTGAGTTGCAGGGTTTGAATGAATATTTTCTTGCTTTTGGGACAATTTATATTCCAGATATTCACGAAAAGGGGAAACGGTCGTTTTGCATGGCGGTTTCCAGCGCCATACTGATAACCTGTCCCAACACGTAACACACGCGGCAAATCTCCCCCTTTCCCTGTTGCTTAGGCAAAAACCGCCGAAGGGTTTATCGCGCGCGGCAGTGGTCCTATAAGGAAAGCATTATGGTTCGTGCGGAACCTTCTATACCACACGAACTCCTTTATCGTGGGGATTGAGCACGATATTCTTGAAACAGCACTTCAGGTAACCCCCTGCCAAGGTTTCAGGCAGTTTCATGATTTTTACACGCTGCCATATACCTACCGTAATTCTGCGAAAGGTCTCAAAACGCAACGAGAGTGTTTTAGACGTGGTCAGAAGATCG